GAGCAGGAATAACAGGAAAGTGGGACAGGAAATTTTGGCCGGAGAGACTGGGACTGGGAATCAAGGAAGGAAATGAGGTTAATAAGTAAAGACTTTGATTTGGGATATGATGAGAAGACATGGTTGAGCAGTCAAAGCTAACAAGACCAAGTCAGAGACAGAGAATTGTTAAAGGATATGGAGCACAGTCAAGTTATGTGGGGGGAACAGGGCAGGGAGGAAAAGAGTGGCAGTCAGTGCAATTACAGCACACTCACTTCTAGACCCTCAAGATTCCTGAATTTGAACATTCACACTTAGCACAAATGTCTATAAAACCCACTGATAATGTGTCCCATTCCCCTCTATGTTTAATGTGAACACTACCCATACTGTCCACTGAATGAGGCGGAAGTTCTGTGAAAAAAGATTAGCTAAATAATCAAATAGTAATTAAAGACTATACCGTAACATATGTAAGAAGATGCAAATTCAGGTGGCACAGGTAACCTTAATTAGGACATTTTCTAATTGTTTTGAATACTTGATTTTCTAACCCTAGTGTTTTTCATGTTGTTTCTGCACATGTGTGCATGTGCACTCGTTTAATTATAAAAAGATTATTCTCTGTAATAAGCTTCAAACAGTTCTCAAACCCATCAACTTTGATCAGACATGGGGATGATTCAGAAACTAAAATACAGAAAGATGATAAAAGTTGTTCTGGGTTTTAATCAACAGATACTACTAAAGACCATGCCACTATTTAGTTTCCCATGTACTTGCATATATATTCAACAATAAGGAAAAATATGGAGCTAATATTTGGAAACTGAATAGTCCTTTACATTAGACATATTCCTTTCTAATGAAGTCAAAACATACTGAACAATACTACAAAACTAAGTTTAATATGTCATGAAAATAAAACAGCTGAGAACCAAACATTCAACTCATTATCTTCAAAGGAATACACCTGCCGCACAGAAGACAGAAAAATGGAAAACAACATTTTTTGATGAGTTGGGGAAGTTTTAAGTAGTTTATTACAGAAAAAAATTAATGTTGTAAACAAACTCAGCTTGTCCAGGATTTGTGTTTTCGGAGAAACCAAATATTCAGTGTGTTAAGTCATGACATTAAAAAGAGCATATTCAAAATGCAACAAAATTATTATTCTAATATAAACATCAGAAACATTAGCATAAAGATTCTTCTGCTTCATTTCAAGGTCTAGCTCAGGATAATGGACACACAAGAAATCCAGACAATCTCACCTGAGTTGCCGCAGATTGACAAGAAGATGAGGAAGATGAGACAACTGGAATGTCAGACTGGACAGCAGCCACAGTGGTAGCGGGAGTAAAAATCAGCTGTGAATGTAGTGAAAAGAAAAATGAAGAAAACAATATGCAGACATAAGGAAGCCAAGTAACAAAGTAAAACCTTGTAGTTTATGAGAGAAACTTTTCTAATTAGGAGACTAAACACATATTACACTTAGGCATGCATTAATTTGAAGTTAAAAAAACTGAGTGAAAAGAAAAAAAAGTAAGTAAAGCTGTTTATTTGGGTCTCTCTGATATATAATATACACTATCAATAATTAATCTTAAAAAATTGTTGCACATTTAAAGGATACCACAACCGATATATTTTCACGTGTTCAATTCAAAGAAATAGGACCATTTGCAAAGAACTCTACATTTGACATCATATGTTCCTCACAAGAACTACTCTTGCAAATAGCAAGTAAGAAGTTTCAAAGGAAAGTGTTCAAAAGGTGTGAGGGGAGAGTAGCCATTCTGAATTAAAAACACCACAGTCCTGATCAGGTGACAACATCAAACAGTTAATTCAGCAAGCAGGGTCTCACAAAAATACATAGTGAAGACAAGGGCCAGTGTTAAACATGTCATTCTGGCAAAACACTACAAGAAAGGACCCGAAATAAAACTCCAATGATACTGTACAAAAAAAATGTTACCATAACAAAAGAGACCCGGCACCGGAGCCAGCATAGTCTTCCCTGACACCCTGCGAGTCTCCCAAGATACAGTAAATGCCTCCCCCTTATGCATCCAGATACAAGTAAATACATAAAAACTGCTGTTGCCTTATATTGTTATATACTCCAATACAATATACTTCTATTATTAACTTATATCAAGATATGAGATACTGAAATACAAATATTAATTGTATCATCACAGACCTTGGAGCTCCTGGGTATGGACAAATACATCTTTTAACAAGAACCCACATCAGTGTTTTGATGCAACTATTACACCTGCATGATCCTGTAAAGATACAAATGAGCTAATCTGCTCAAATTTTGACCCTGAATGAAACAGGATCAAAGTTCCAGCAGCTGTGCTACACTGGTAATGCTACAGACTAATGCAGAGGTAACCGTTCCATTGTAACAGCTTATATCAGTATCATTTGCTATCAACACAATTGTTATGTCCGTCTATACTTTCAGGGCTAGGCACTGCATAAACAGAACAATAAGATTGTCCCCAATCCAGAGAGCTAACACAGATGGGTACAGACAGGCGAATAAAAGGAAACAAATTGGTCAGCATGATGGACAGTGGTCTCAGCAACATGATGGATAGCGGTCACAGAATTCCTGTGGCCTAGCCATTATTAAGTTTTTTGTAAGTATTGTGACAACCCAGAGTTTGAAGGAGGACAAGTTAGTTTTGCAGATAATTACAGGATTTTTTCCCCCAAACATGAGCACCAACGTGGGAGAAAGCACAAAGTAACTGCCTGAAAACATATCAAGCTGGCATCACGGGTTGGTCAGAAGTAAAACTCAACTTTTCCTACAGAAAGAAATAAGATAAGCAGAGCACAGATATACCCTAAAGGGCCTTGAAAAAGAAGAAAAATAGCTTATGTTTGATGTGAGAGGGGGAAAAAAAAAACCAAAGAGAGGGGTGACGGTCAAAGTAACAGGACTAGGAAAATGATCTTGCAGAGTCATTCTGACTGGATATGAACAGTGCAAGACTGCATTTATTAAGACAAGAGAAAAGGATGTTGCAGTAAAACAGGAGATGAGTTTTTAATTCAGCTGTTTGCAACAACTAACTGATACATACTGAAAGGTATAGAGTGTGCACGTATCTGTATACATACATATAAAGGCCATATACCATACTGAGTAGGTGGCGTCAAAACACACCACATATCCACCACTTGGATTTAGTTATACATCATTAAGTCCCTGTGAAACTCCCTCTTTTCTTGCATACTGAAGACAGCAACAACTCCTGAGCAGATCTATACATTCTTGCAGAGCCTCAGTTACTTCAGATGAGACTTTGCACAAATAAAGCAGTCAGCACACTGAGATTATTGCAAGACAAGGACCCATACTGGTACTGCAAAACACCGTTAAGTTAAAAGTCACCATCGTTAAGATTTTATAAAACAGCCATTTTGTTTCACTGTAAAACTAGTCACAATTTGAAAATTATTTTCATTTTAAACTGTGAAAGAAAAAAAAAATACTAATAGGAAATTGCAAGAATCAAATGTGTCTTATACGAATCCAGGGCGAATGAAAGCTATAAACCCAACTCAAACACTAGAGGCAATACTCCATTAAAAGCATACTCTTACTTAAATGTGAGAAAGCTTTAATCAAGAGCCTGTAAACTCTTAATGTTTGAAGCATATTAGAACAATCTGCTGGGAATACAATATGCCTCTTCAAATACCCTTAAGCAAGGACAGATATTTTGTTCCTAACTTATGAATGTTTGATCTGCTCCCCTACGACAATATGCACCAGACTAATACTGAGCTGTTTTCAAGGCAGATTTCATTTTCCTGCTCTCCAGTCAAACAATCCCTTTATTTCTCTGTGGTCCAAATTGTTCTAAAAACTATTTAATTGACAAAATTAGCTATCAAATTCCCAAAGTACATAGCCTGTAAACAATTTGTGTGTCATCTTTAGGGGTTTTTTTTGTAAGTTCACTTAAGAAAACTCAAATCTGAGCACTGCAACTCACGACACTTACCATCTGAGCTCGGAGATACATTTGAGCCTGGCTTGCACTCAGCGTAGGGGAGGTACTCCCCAGCAACATAGTCTGTTGGGTAATACTGCTGCTAGTAGTGTTGGAGGTCTGTGAACGACTTATTATTTGCGCAGGTGTAGGAGAGGTGGAGAGGTTGATCTAAGGAAATAAAAATGTTGCTTTGGTCATGGCCATTCATCCTGGAATCTAAAGCCAATCAACCTCAACAAATAACCACAAGGCAGTTGGAGCTCCCAACTTTTAAAGATTTCAACAATATTTTGAGCCAAAATTTATGACTGCTATATTTTTTCAACACAAATCAACTGGCAATAGAGTGTAGGACTATATGGTATCTGCTTTTATGAGCAGCAATGTTAATATGGCAGTATATTATGCTTCCTTTATGTGGCAATTTACATTTAACAGTGCTTGGGTAATGCAACCAACCATTTAGAGTCATTCATCACAACAATTTTAAGGTTTTATATTTGGTTCTGCATTAAACAAAAAACAAATAGCTAAGATGCACATAATTAAGAAACATATAACATATCAATATATCACTGGCTCAAGGCATCAATAATCCTCATCATAACACTGTCTCTTCCCTCTCACACCTTACTCTGTTGGTTTTATCCAAGCAAAAGGTATGGCTGAGCTCATGTAGATATGTTTGGACTAGCTTCAAACAATCAGTTTGGGAACCCATGGCTATGGCATGACAGAACACAACACAGCACCAGAGCTCAGTACAGGCTAGCTGCCCAAGCATATTCCTGGGATCTTCACTGGAGTTTGAAATCTGCACTGAACTCTGCTGCCATGGTTCATAAGAACATAGGAAAGCATGTCCTGCTCAAGGCAGGATTAATTCTGACTATATCATCCTAGTCAAAAGTCTGGCTGAACAGCTCCAGGAATAGGTATTCCACAATGTCTCTGTTTCAATGCTTCCCTCAGTCAGAAAGTTCTTCCTAATTTTCAGTATGAATTTCCCCAGTTGCAGCTTGTTCTTTGCTCCTAGTCCTATAGCCACAAAGAAAAGCACATCTCCAAACTATAATCACCCTTCAGGTATTTGAAGACGTAACAAATTCCCCCTCAGTCTTCTCTTCTCCAAACTAAATAAACTAACTCTTTCAGCCTTTCCCCATAAATCTTACTTCCCAGGCCTCTAACCTTTTTGTTGCTGTCTGCTGAACTCTGTTCAATCTGTCCACGTTCTTCTTGAAGTGTGGAACCCAAAACTGGATGCAACTGATTTGCAAGTGACACTCCTGTTAATACAACCCAGTACACTGTTGGCCCTTTTCACAAGAGCACCCTGTGGCTTCATATTCAGTTTATGGTCCACTGTAACCCCCCAGGTCCTCCTCTGCTAATCATCCCACAGTCTGTATTTATGCCTGCAATTATTTCACCCCAAGGACAGGACATTGTATTTGTACTTGCTCAATTTCATTTGACTGATTTCAAACCATTTTTCCAGTCTATCCAGGTCATTCTGGATCCTAACCTCACCCACCAAGGTATCTGCAACTCCACCAAACTTGGTGTCATTCACAAATTTGCTAAGCACGCACTCAATCCCATGTTGATTTACCATATAAATATTAATGAGGACACTAAACTAAACCAAACCAAACCCAGGAGAGAGCCTGGGGAATACTACCTCCCTCTCAACTGGACACTGAGCCACTAGTTACACTTATATGGATGAGATAATTCAAAGCTCTCTCTCGTATGATCAGTCAAGTTGCACTCACAGGTTTGAGTACCATGACACAGGTATGTTTATATCAGGTTGTAAACATGATCTTTTTTCCTAAATACATACAAACTTGTGCCTCTTTAGTGACATATGAACAATAAAAGAAAAGTTCAGACAAGCCAAATTTCAAATGAAAAAGCTTAAAAAGCATTTTAGCAAAATTGTGACTAGACAACACAAAGAATTAAATTTTAGTCCAACATGTCCATAAAATCAAAGATGGTAACTGGCTTTGAAGGCAGTATTCACCAGAATATAGGTTCTGAACAACTTGTGGCACTGATTGTACAAAAAACCCGACAGAAGAATAAAGCCATTAATATAAATCTTCAATACATATTAAATACCACTGTGAACTAACACTGAATTATATTCTCCCCATAGTAATCCTTAGTTTTAATTAATGATCATTTGGTTTATTATATTCTTAATGAATGATGGGTTGTAATTATTTATTAGACCAGTAGGCATTCTTATTTCTGAGAACCAGGAAAAAAATGAATGTGGGGAAATTCTAACTACAGAACAAACACATTGGAAAAGGTTGCAATTAGTTTTATTTCTGTTTTAGCCTAGTAAATTAAATAGTAAAATGATTGTCTTCCCAGGGATAATATGCCAGTGCCTATTAACTGAAGAGGAAAAAATAAGAGTTTTATTCTGATTATGCCATTTGATAGCACTTGCCAGAGAATTACAAAGTTATATTAAACTAAATGGAAGCAAAATTTTAAAACTGAAAGATCTAATAGCTTATTATAATTGTCAGTAATGCTGCCAATTGTTATACATTTAATGTAAACTACCTATAAACTGAACAATGAAGCTGGAATCTCAGAATTAACATCATAGCTAGAAAAATACTATCATACAAATACCTGTACATGGTATAAAACTTATAGCTCTAGTTGATGAAAACTGCGCCAACACAAACACTAGTAGTCTGTCTTTCTGAAACTTACAGGATTTAGACTAAAATCCTTTATACTTTTGAGTCTGCTATAATAAAAGTTGCTATTGTTGGTTTACAAAACACAACCATGTATAATTGCTTGATGATTCCTATGTACAGTTATCATAATGCAAACACAAATCTAGGCATCTGTATAAGATAGTTAACTGACCAATTTGTTCAAAATTCTCAGTTTAAATACATAAATGCAGGAATTCAGTATTACTACTTTAAAATGTGCAATTTAGTGTAGTAATGGTGGCTATGAAATTTTGCATGATGTCTGTTTCAATCTGGTCTTCAACCATTTTAATTAACTCCCTACTAAGTATATGTACTTCATCAGCAAGTAAATATTATCCTTTCAAATAGGTGAACAAATCCTTCACTGCTATGCACAATAATGTACACCATACAAATAAGGTGTAATACTTTAAAGTAACAGTATTTAAAACCTATAATAAGAGAATCAAAATTCAAAGTGCTTTAATATTTTCATTAAACATAAACAATAGACAAATAGTTGAAAAGTCTATGTTAAAGCACCTAATTATTATGGTTTCAGAGTCCAATTTACTTATCTAGGGTGGAAGCTGATAAATGTAACATTACCATAAATAAATACTTACTGAATGTGTGGCACAAGCCAAAAACAATATTCAGATTTTGGTGCTTAAGGGTAAACCCACAAACCTATGCTTAGGCACCTATGTAAGATGTAGCCTGATCTTCAAAGGTATTACAAGCTTGTTCAGCAGCCCTGAAAAAAGAGATGTCAGGCTACTGTTCTTTATCTGCCCACAAATGTATATGAGGTCCCCAACTCAAATTTTTAAATTTCCACTGAAACCTCTGAAGTGTTCTGCAACTTCATGTTAGACCTTCACCCTTAAAAAATTATCTTTAATATTTTATCAAAATAAGACACGGATTTCCAAAGTGGTCTAAAGGAACTAAGCACTCAATACCTTTCAATGGGTCTTTGGTACCTAAGTACCAGAAGTTTCTCTGGAAGTCCCAACTTAACTGTTATACTAATTTAAATGTACAATGACATGTCTTTCTTTAGCAGACTTGTGTTTAAAGAGTGGAATCTGTGATCTAACAGGTCTTTTTACCTCAACTTATATTTTGTCAGTATCTTGTGATGAAATTTTAAATCAGATTCATCTATTTAAACATTAAAATAATTGTCTTCTTTTCAAGTAGTTGTATTATAATCAAAGGCTAGGATGGGATAGAGAGCCTTGTTCAGATACATACCGATGTCTGTGACATGCTTGACTGCTGAGTGACACTCCCAGTGGGGGATGTACACTGCCTCCCACCTGACAGACTTGCCTAAATAGCAAGAACATGTGTCAAATGTGTCATCTAAGCTGAAATCAAAGTTGTTTAAATAACGTGGATATTATTACATAAACCAACAGAAATCCAACCTCTAGTTTAACATGCACTCTCTCTCTTTGAATTACCTGCAAAATATTTTCCTAGAAGAATCAGAAAAATGCTTTCAGCAGAGTGTGTACGACTTTGGACTTAAACCTGCAAGGTATCAAACTCATCTTTAAGTTGCAGGCATCCTGAACCCTACAGATTCAGGACCTATACAAAGAACACATATTAGTAGAACCCAGGACACTGTTAATGACTGAACAAGGTGTACAGTCCACTGTGCACACTGAAAATCTATTAAAAAAACCCCAACAACAAACAAACCCAGTTTTGACTATAATCCTTCTAAAGCTGTTTTATACTATAATTAAAATTATTTGCTATAGCCGGTCTTCAAAAATTAATAGTTATTATCCCCCAGAAAAAGTTTTCAGACTTAAATGTTTTGTTATTTCATTTTTTTTATACCAAATGACAAAGAAAAAAATAACGTAATGGCATAAACTACTAAATACAGGAACAAACTAGGAGGCGGCCTCTCTGGTCACTGAATTTAGTCCCCTGGGTTTATAGGCAAGATGTTTGATTTTCTATCTGTATATATCCAAAACTGCTTAAATATTTAATGTGTTGGCATTTAGCACTGTAAAATGATTAAAATATTTTGAAGCCTGAGAGAGAAAGAAATCTCTTTCTTTGTTTCAAGGAGATACATTTTTTATGGGCAAGCTAAAAAAAAAAAAAATCCTGACATACAAGACAAACATCAGCCTTTTAATTCTAAATTACCAGACCATTAATACATTACTGTAACTGTATTTATTATAGTTTTGCTAGAATACAGATTCTAATACTACAATAAAATCCTATTGAGATAATTTGGGGCTTTTCCACCAGCGGTATGTTTAATTCGTAACAGATCAGATAAATAAAATTTTCCTAAATGTTTATAGATTCTATCACAAATACTTTAAAATGTCATTTTTCTTTTAATATTGTTGGATACCCCACCCCATCCCCTAAAGCATGTTTAAGAAAAATCACCTTTATTGATTATGGCTAGTTCTGCTTTGCTTTGTGTTACCTGCAACATGGACAAAAGTCTAAAACGTAGATGAACGTCAAGGAAACACAATCTTCAGACTAATTAAGAATGCAATCCTGTTTTCCTCATACAAGAAGTCACACCTCATCCCCCAATTTTAATGTAGGCCTCCTGGAGTAAGAACTTCAAGATTAAGTTCCAAATACAGATTTCAGTCCATTTCCTTAAATACTAGGCTCCTTACTGAATACGCACGCAGCATTCGTTACCTTCTGCTGAGTCTTGACAAATTTAGATCCAGATCATGGGAAAATGGGACAGGAAGGGACATCATGAGGTCATCTAGTACAGCGCACTGCTCAAGGCAAAATCATCCCTGACTAAATCATTCCAATCAAGTGTCTGTTCAACCTGTTCTTGAAAACTTCCAGGGATGGAGATCCCACAGCTTCACTATGTAGCCTGTTCCAATGCTTAACCAGCCTTGTAGCCAGAAAGTTCACCCTAACTCCAACCTAAATTTCTGAAAGTTTGAGGCCATTGCTTCTAGTCCCATGCCCTACAGCCACAGGAAAAAGTCCATCTCCAGTCACACGTCAGATATTTGCAGGCTGTTATCAAAGCTCCCCCTCCCTCAAGTCTCATAGTCTCCAGACTAATAACCCTAGTTCTTTCAGCCTTTCCTCATATAAATCACACAATTCTCTCTCAGACAACAGCCAGCTGATTATTAGCCTTTTAAATCATTCGGAATTATTTTAGGCCTATGATTTGCTTTCCAATGTAAATGTGTACATATATCTGATTTTTTTGTAAATACACGAGTTGGGGTGAAGGGAGTGGAAGAAACATTCATAAGCCAACACATCCACATCAGCCAGCAGAAAAGCCACAGAAGTGGGAGCTAAGAACTCTCCAGCCTTAATCCAATCTCTAACAACAGTTTATAGCCTTGAAATCTTTAACTCAGTTTCTCCACATGTTAAATGATAGTACTTACCTCTCTCTCCAGAACATTGGTCCCAATCCAGTGTCCTTTGAGGTCAACAGAAAATTTTACCTTGACTTCAGTAAGTATTGAAGAGGCCTAACATATGCATTAGTGATACAGCCTTTGCAAATGAGAATAAAGTGCTCTTTTTTTAAACTTCTTTCTTTTCCAATGTCAAGGTTATAACTGAAATTTGCTGTTACTTATAAAGTAACTTCATGCCATAGTAAAACACAATGAATTATCAAAATAAATACAATAATGTTTTATATCTTATCTCTTCTGAGGTATGTGTTATGTTCATTCCCTCAGCATAAACTTTTAGAAAGAAGGAAGGCTGAAGAGTGGAGGCATCTGGCTTTTTTTCCTGTTATCACTGAGATTTTTTTTACTGCTTATGCAATTATTTGTATGGTGCAAGAGACTTTTATGAAAATACACAAAATGCTCAAGTGTGTTGGCAGTGCATAACAGAGATCATTTAAAAGAATCAAGTCATTAAAATGCTACACTTAACTGTGATATGTTAAGTATCAGGCACTTAAGCTTTAGGCTTGGTAGCAGTTTAATTTTTCAGTCCTAGAGCATTACTTTCCAACGTGCTTCAGTCTCTCACCTGTGGAACAGCTGCCAGACTCTGAAACTGGGTGCTACTTAAGTGCTGCTGTTGCAAAGCAGCAGTCTGCAGCATCAGATGCTGCTGTTGGGCTGCATACATCTGCTGAAGGTACTGAGCAGCCGAGCTAGGGGGACGATGCAAGGCCTGCTGAATGACCTGCAATATACCAATACGCAATTAGACAACTATGAAATCAACATCTTATGGATACTATTATAGAAAGTTATCCTAGAGAGGACATAAAACTCTCCTCCAGCTACATAATGCTAAAGTCCCCAAATAACAACCGCTCTTCAAGTAAATTATAAAATGCGGCTAACATACATGTTCTGGCCTACAGACGTAGCCTGTTCTTTGATTTAAGTCATTTTACAAGTTACATTTAAACACTGCATCACTGAAAGCTGGTTCTCCTGGAGCACAGGACAATTGCCAAGTGGATAACTGGCACAAAATGTTGGACAACAGCAGGAGACTGAAGATAAATAAGGAAGCAAAAAACACCGAGGCAAACTCCTGCTTAAAGAAATGTATTACAGGACCTTTAAAATAAACTCCTGGCCCTACTGAAGTCACTACTTCAATGGTGCCAGGATTTCAATATTATTATCTACACATTGAGCATTTTGGTTTTTAAAGTCTGATCAGAAAAAAAACTAACTTGTACAATACACTAAATAGTGCAGAGCTGAACTGACCCTGCTAGCATAGAAGACTGTGGTTCCAGGGACTCTTGGTATTTTTAAGGCAATTAATACATTCCACTACATATCTATAAGAAACATAATATATCTAGTCTGTATAACAGTACCATTTTTATTTGTAAAAAGGTGTTCCACTCCTTTAAGGACCACAGAGCTAAAAAAAAAAAAGTCTTCTGTGACTATCAGACCCCACTGTGAAGGGCCAAGAGCTCAATTGGGGGAAGGACAGTAGAAGGATGGTTCACTTCTATGGAGGGTCCTGGAGGGATGCAGGGGGAAAGGTTTTTGGACCCGTCCAGCTAGTTCTGGTCAGTGGGGGTTTTTTCGTGTTATTCTGCAAGTTTCTCTTTGTGCATTAATAAACTAGGTCCTGCAGGGAGAATGTGAAAAACACTGAGTTTACTGCTGGTCCCTCCTTGACTGGGGAGGGAGTCTGGCAATTTAAAAGTGCTGGAAAATGCACAGGGATGACTGGCCCTGAGAAGAGAAGAAATCAAAATAGCTATAGAAAAAATGGAGGCAGCAAGGAAACATCTCTCTCCAAGCCCATCATGCCCCCACTTTCGGGGGACAGGATGAAGGACATTATATTCGTAGGGCCAATGATACAACAGAAATACCAAAAGGCAGAGCAGGGAACCCCCCTGCAGCTTCTGGAGAGGCAAAAGAAACAGAAGGAGGTGCAGTCTGCAGCTGAATACCAGCACCACGGTAAATGGATTACTGGGGGTTCTACTCACTCTGGGACAGCAATGAGTCAAGGTATCATCCTTGAAAACCAAATGGTTGGAGGTTTGTGAAGATAGCTAGGAATCTCCAAAACCCTCCAAACCCACAGAAAACAATGAGTGGGATAAAGATAAATATTATGATAAGAGTGACAAGGACTGCAAGATTTATAAGATTCCAACTTTGATTGGAATGAGACTGGCTAGAGAAGAGAACCAGCCAAGGAAACTTCCTTCAAAAGAAATTAAAATCCTTTACATGAAATGGACAGAGGTAGCAATTACAAGAAGTGATTGGGAAGATTATGACCTAATAAAATGGACGAGTAATGACTGAGACAGAAGATGATCACTTCTCAGAACAGACTATGAAGAAATGAGCTTCTGGTTGTATATGATAAAAAAAAAAAAAGACTGCAAAACGATTCAGTGAGCAGCTGTTATTGCTCAAGCTATTTTAAAATAAACAGACACAGGTGAAACCAAATGGGAACATAAGAAATTCACTATGTTACAGGGAGTCAAATTTCTTACTTGATACCCAGACTGCTCCACAGGGGAACTGGAAAGGTTTCAGTAACTCTAGCTTCTCTTCAGTATACCTATAAGCAACTGGCAGAACAGCTTCAGGAAATCCTGCAGGAGAGGAGCTGTCTACTCTTGATGACCCATAAGCATGAAAAGAACCTGAAGCATTTGTGTGCAGAGACCCCAAAGCACATACACACGCGCACACGCACACAGGCCATTTATATTTAGGTATACAAGCGGTAGAGGCAAACTATAAATATGGGTACTTCAGACTGTAGAACTTGCCCTGAGATTAACAAAGTTTTGTAGGAGGGAATTGTGCAACAGTGGACTGTCTCTTTGAGAATCAGTCAGCTTGGTTCAATTATCCAACCTAACTGTGAAGGGATGAGGTGGGTCCTGTAAGGACCTGGACACTGGGCAAGAATTGCAGGAGGGAGCGGATGGCTCTTATGACAAGTCCCTGAGCAGAAAGGCACAAGGAAAACATTTGGGCCCCTGTAGCCTGTCCTGGTCAGGGGAACAGCTTTATTTCTGTTTGCTTTGCAAACGTTTGTGTTAGTGAACCATGCATAGCATTAGTCCGTCCTAGTCTGGGGAGACAGGCCAGTAGCTTACACCAGGACCATTTACCTAGCAATCTGTGGGCCACATACAGCCCCCTGAGGGGTTAAGATGTGGCCCTTGGGCTCACAATTCAGACCTTACTACCCCAGCATTCCAGCTTCTCCTGCCCCCATCAGACTTTCTAGGCCTCTGCTCCATCCTCCAGCTTCTCCTTCTTGCTCCCATCCCTGAGGGGCAGCACAGCACAGAACAGAACAGCCAAGGGAGCCTGCAGCTGAGGGACTCAGGGGACTCTATGCAATGCAGGAGCGCAGCAGGGTATAGAGGAAAGGAGGGCATGCAGTAGGGCAAGGGCCACATAGTGTGGCAGAGGCCATGTGACACAATGTGCAGGGGGGAGTGGCACTGGCACTATGTAGTTGGTGGGGCACCCATGCAGTGGGAGGATGCCCACACAGTGCCACACCATGGCATGTAGCCCACATAGAAAATGTCAGAGGGGTAATCTGTGGCCCTCAGCCACTCAAAAATCAGACAGCCTTGGTGTACTCAACCACTAATAAGTCCAATCACCTTTTATAAACAGTCAGTGTTTCATGAAAACTATTTAGTCAGACACTGAGACCCAGGAGAGAGGAAGAATTAAATGTTAAACCTTAGCTGGAAGGCAGCACTATACAACCTGTTTTGATAAGCAGATAATGTAGCCTGTGTTTGAGCACCCCTTTCCGTCTCTCTGTATGTAGCATCTCAGAGTCTAGTACCTGGACAGCATGTCGGTCAGAACCACTGTAGACAGATATCTGTGGTGGCTGTGTCCTGGAGGTGGTGGTGCTAGTAGTTGTAGATGCAGAACACGTTGTTGTGTTTGATTCATTCTCCATGGTTGTGCAGTGTTTTTCCAGCCTGGGAGGAATTGAAATATATGTAGTTCAGATGTACAAGAATAGATTATACCAAGTAAAAAAAATTAAGTTCCTCCAATTAATATTCATGGGCAATTCATTTTGCTTCCTAAGAAAGTAATTCCTCTTTCTCTCTATAACCTGAGCACAGACACAGCTTTAAGTTTGTTAAGACTTTCTATTGAAAATTCTTCAGAGAAAGGAAAAAACATTTAAGATGTATCAAAAGCATCCAGGAATCATAGGCAAAACCACCAAGTTATGCAGGAGGTCTACTTTAACATCCTTCTTCACTGCAGTTCTGGCTAACCCCTTCATACACTTGCACTGGGATACTTAAAACAAACAAACACAGAAACAAACAACAAACAAACAAAATAACAAACAACCCCCCCCCCCCCCCCCCCCCCCCCCCCTAAAATCACCAGCTTTAGCCCTCTGGAAACAGAAAAGTTGTAAAGGCATTTTTTTCTCCACATCTCTGATGCCTTCTGAAGCACAGCAACATTCTAGGGAGGAAATCCATTGATAAGCAATTCTGGCTGCTCTTCCCCTCCCAATTGAAGTAACAGATTCCCTCTAATTCTGCAGCCTTTCTGATCTTTCCTAACCTGCCTCTCTTCCTTCATTAGTTGAAGATGACTTCTATCCATAGAAGCATTATTTAAAATTGAAACAAACACAACATCAGTTTCTAACACAAACTATAAATGAAACAAAAGCATTGACCATGAGGCATGAACAACAACAAAAAAGCAAGGCTTTTTATAGGAAGAGGTAGGAGAGAAGTTTCTTTTTAAAGAAAAAAGTGGAAGGGCACAGAAAGCAGTCCTTTAGAAACTTACAGGGATCAGCAGAAAAAAAAAGTATTATCAAGCATAACAAGCTTCTGCTGGGCACTGCCCAATACCCAGTAACTTGTCAAATATTAGACTAGTGATTCCTACAACTGTGGAGCTCTAGATGGCCACTCTATTGCACACTGTTGCCACTGGGAACTTCATGGTGGCAGACCTCCTGCTCCAGAAATATAAACCTTTATTACATGGACTGAGGGGAAACCTATTACATGTTAAAATACAAAGGCTATAATTGTATGCGGCAGACCACAACAATGTACATGTGAGCTAAGCTGCTTGTCTTGATAAATAAAAATATAACACTCATGAAATTACCACACTCATTTTGCTTAAATTTAAATTCAAACTTTGAAACATTTTCTTCCTGAGAAGAATATGGGTGCATTTCACCATAATGCTACAACTAAAATATCTGTTCATTTCAACAGAATTTTGCTCAACTCCACTAAATTATCCTCACTAAGGGAAATAATGCATTAGGTTTTTCATCATTAATACATATGATTGGTGGTAAGACTGGCAGGATGTGTGCATTCCCACTTCAGTCCTTCCACCAGAGGATAACAGTCTACTACTTCTAGGAGCTAGTAGTTATTCCTTAGTTCAAGTGATCTCACTTTTTCAAAAACAGCTTTTAGTCTCCAAACTTTCACTTGTATTAATTTCTTGAAAACTCATGCAGTAGCTACATGAAGAAAACATAACATAACTAAAGACAGCAAAAGTTTTGTTGGGGATAGCCTATGATCTATTCCTGAACCCAGTGACTTACATCCGAATTACATGTCCAACCCTGGTCCTATGTATTTGGTAGAGTACAGTTTAATACATAATGGAACTAACATCTAGCCCTGTGATATATAATATTATGCCTTTTATGAGTTGTAGCTTAGAATAAGGGTTTCCATTGATGACAGCTAACAGACACCTTTATTTAGGTCACACAGAGAGTTTTCCAAAATAAATGCTTTTTTAGAGCTGAAGACCCAGGGAATGTGT